GTAACAAACTTGTTACTTTGTGGGTGAATTGTATCTGAACAACAGGCAACTTCTGTAGCATTAAGGAAAAATTAAGCATACTCAGCCACAACAGGTGTTACAGCCTTAACAACAGTCCTGCCTCTCCATCACAGGGTTCAGGTTACATGTTAGTCACGTCGGAATTACCAACATGATCTACACTTTCATCTGCTCTGTTGTTAGTTGCTAAGTATGCAGACTTTGCATATTTTCTGGCTGTTGTTTCTCTCCACCAAAAATGGTAACTTTCAGTCAAGTGGAAATTCAAATAATCTGCAATCACAGTTTGTGATTTTACAGCATCTAAAAAAATAATAGATATTTTTCATTATTTCGTAAATTATAATTATAAAAAAGTAATAAATCTCGTATTAAAAAAGAGGACATTCTACACACTACATTTCATAATATTTTTGTCTCACTTTAAGGTTATGTCAACTGCAAAGAGAAGGAGATGGCATATTCCTGCCTCTGTCACAGCCAAAACAACATTCAACCCAATAAGATCTATTGTAGATAGAATGAAGATAACACCAAACCCTGAGAAACAGATGATTGCTTTGTCTATTGGTAAGTTCACATGACAATGCATGTAATTAATTCCGTTGAAAAACAGAGGCAGAGAGAAGTGCTGAGTTTCTTCTACCCTAGGCCACTTTTGTTCAGTTTGTCTTCTTGATTTTTTTTTCTGAATAAATCTCAGCTCTCATTATATTATATGTAAACTATGGTATTTAATTATTGTTGTAGCCTTATGCTCCACTCGCTGGAGCAAAGAGAATGAGTGAATGAGTTAGCGAGTGATTTAATACATTACAAGCAAACATTTAGTGAAATATTATTTTTAAACATATCACTTGACAGTGATATCATGACGATATGGAAACGTTGTGCATTTTCAATATGTTGTATTTAAAAATTTTAATATGTAACACTTTTGCCAAAAACAAGTTGGAATATGATTATTTTGGATTTCTAGCCAGATTGGTGAAATTCTGATGGCTTGATCTTTTTCTTTTTTAGGGGACCCATCGGTGTTTGGAAATTTGGAACCTTGTCCTGAGATGATTGACGCAGTTGTCAAGTGTGTAAAACAGTCCAAACATAATGGATATGCTCCTTCAACAGGTAGCCACAGTCCAAGGCTATTTTATTCATTTTAATGTCCCTGTTTCAGAGAGCACTCCTGAGAGCTTACCTTGATGTGTTATTCTAACCTATCATTATTATGGCAATTTATATACCAGGTATATCTTATAGCTAGACCTGTCTATGGGTGTAACCAATATTACAAAAGGTGCCATGATACAGATTATGCTGTGATAAGACCTGACAATCTTCTGTAACACTTGACATAATAAAGCATTCAAAGATTTCACCCAATCATCACATCATTGCTCCATTAACTACTTTTTACTGCTTGTGACCTAAAACTTTCTTTAAAACAAGTAAAAGCTAGTTTATTGAAGCTTTCTGGCTTAATTCAAAACATACTATTTCAAAACAGGAATTTTTCTAAAAAAATCAGCCACTTTATTTCTATAATTAATGTATTAACTTACGCCATTATTTTGCATTGTAGGTTATATCAAAGCACGTGAGGCCATTGCTGCAGAACATTCCTTTCCCTTATCTCCAATAACTTACAAGGTAAAGATTGGATATTCAAACACTGTAATTTAGTTTAGTTTAATTTATTTGTTTCTTGTTAAGTAACTGTTACACGAATACTAACTATATTTAAGTATAGAATTAATGTATATGTATTATTTACTGCTTTATCTTAGGATGTTGTTTTGGCATGTGGATGTTCTGGCGCTTTGGAGCTCGCTCTCGATGTCCTCCTTAATCCTGGTGACAATGTTCTTCTACCCAAACCAGGCTTCTCTATTTACCAGACACTAAGTATTTCACGAGGTCATGAAGTCAGGCATTACAACCTCTTGGTAAGAAATAAAAAGATCTCTAACTACTTTGCAAAAGGATTGTTTTCTTCTGTTGTACATTTGGCATAAGAAAGATAATTATGTATTACATGTAAATAAAAAGTAATTTCACACCTAAACTAAGATCTTTTCAAACTGTACGACCTAAAAATTTTTTTTAATCTGTGGCAACAAGATGATGCCAGAATGTCATGTACTCAGTAGTGTTTAAATTTCTTTTTAAATGTTTCTATAGATCTTTAATCAATTTGTGTTATAAAAATTTAACTTGCACTTTTCATGTAACAAATAAAGGCAAAATCCTACTAATTCAAGATGGGATTCTGCCAATAAACTATAGCTGGAAGATTCTGGGTGGGATTCCACCGAAAATAATAAATTTAAATCAAATTACTCATGATCAGGTGTCAAGGCAACTACAAATACACTGTACGCAAGCCCTTTCTAAAACTGCCCGAAACTTCTCCAAGTCTCCAAATGATAAAAAAAACATTTATGTTATTTAACGACAATGACAAGGAAAGGTTCACAAATCAAGTTTATTACTGCAAATGATACAGCTTCAGGGTGTTTATTAGGTATTGGAAATCGGAGAATTCTTGGGCAACTATGCAGAATTCTCTGACTAGTTTGGACACCCTGTACCTTTTTCTTATACACATGTAGCTACAGCCATTATGTAAACTTAGCTACAAGTTCATAACAGTAAAACAATCTGCACACATGTAAAACTGGTTTCATAAAATAGTAAAATGTCTAGGCAGTAGCTCCAAAGACTCTAAGAAAGAAATCAAATTTTTTCTTGGCAAAAGGATTAATTAACTTAAAACGAGAGATAACTGAATTTCCTGATTTAATGCCTGCAATTTACATTAAGTTTGCAGAGAAAAAAATTCTGTGTCTATTTTGAGGTACTTTCTTGACTGTATAGTTCAAGGTATGTATTAACAATTTTTTTTTTGGAAAATTATTTGCATTTAGCCGGAAAGATCCTGGGAGATTGATATTGATCACCTTGAATCACTGATTGATGACCGAACAAAAGCCATACTTGTGAACAATCCTTCTAACCCTTGTGGCTCAGTTTATTCCAAAGAACATCTGGAGGCCATCCTGGAAGGTAAAAAAATCTACTTATTTATCACAAATTATTCAAGCAGTGATATTATATTTCTTGTACTTTCAAGTTGACAATCAAGAACGTTTTTTTATTTATTTACTTTTTCGGTTTTAAGGCGCATCGTTTTTTCAAAGAAAATGTGCCTGTTCAATTGAAATATGGTCTAAACTCAGGGTGTACCTTAAAGCCAAGTATGCTCACGCCACAAAATATAAAATATGCCAAATTTCCCTGATAAAAGGACTCAATTAAGTAGGTAATAGTGGCCAGTTGTATAATTCTTTATTTAGATACTGTCAACAACTTAGTGACAATTTTTTTTCCAGTGGCTGAAAAATACATGATTCCTATCATTGCTGATGAAGTGTATGAGTATGCAGTGAGTATAAGTTATTAATTAAATAAAACAAATATTTATTAAATGAAGCACAGTTAATTCTTATAGAAAAAAGAACCTGAACTTCATGTGTACAAGTAACAATAACAACAAATTATACGTGAGTAAAAAAGGAAAAAAAAAACTGAGTTGTTGATGCCCTAGCTCAGGGGGTTTTTAGTAACATTTTCAGCGGGGTGGCAACTGGTTTTCACATGTAGTCAGGCAAAACTATTTGAACTGATCCTCTTTAAGAGAAAAAGTTCGGCCGCTACATAGACAAACCAGGCAGGCAAAATCGTCCTCGCAGCCGGTCAATTTGCGCGGTGCCTGGCCCTTAATAAAACCCCTGCTGGCCATAGATGCGTCATCTGTGATGTTACAATAATAATAGTCTGTATAATATTATCAACGGAGGCATATTTATAAATTGCATCATGACTTTGCTCTGATGAAGGGATCATGCTCAAAATGTCAGCTCAACAAACTCAATACAGCAGTTAATTTATCATGATCAACTTCAAGTTTATCCCTGTAAGTACTTCACTTGCCCCAGCACCAGCCAACACAGTCAAACAGTTTCTTTAGCATGTAATACCTTTGTTCATATATCATTTGTTTTATTTATGAAGGTGTTCCCTGGATACAAGTTTTACCCTCTTGCTCAGTTATCAGAGAATGTCCCCATCCTAACTTGTGGTGCAATTTCAAAAAGGTTAGTCATTTATCTTTTACAATATTTTCTTATCAAAATATTGTTGTTTGAAAAAGAGTTGTGTGGAAGAATTGAAAACAAGCAGTGAAATCAAAAACAATTTCTTGATGGGATCGTTTTGTGATTAAAAGTCAAACTACATGTAGACTAGGAATTTCACTGGCAAAAGTTACTAATTTCCTCCAGAAGAGGAGATCCACATTATAGAGTGCATAATTACGGTATGTGTTCATAGTAATATATACAGTGTTACTTACCTTTAGGTTCCTTGTGCCTGGTTGGCGACTGGGGTGGGTTCTTATCTACGACAAAAATGAAGCATTCACAACTGAGGTGAGTTGATAACATACCTGTAGTCTTGTTTATAAATGTGTTTCACTTTAATTTCTTTTATCTTGACAAGCTGTTTGTAACCTCAGTGTGATACTATAGGCTGATTCTAGTTGATGTATTAGAAAAAACCCTTATTTTTACATACAAACCATGACCCTCTCTACTTCTTTCCTCTGTACCTGGAGGAATGATTTTAGAGAAAACATGAATATTTAAGCTCTTCAAAATAGCTACAATTGTACAGTCAATTTTAATTTGTGGGGTTAGAGATGAGGGTTGTCCCAAACTTTGACTTCAAATGTTGGCACATTATTTACCCCTAAAAGTATTTATAAATTCTGTTTACAACAGGTACGGCCTGGACTAATTGCACTATCACAACAAATCCTGGGTCCAAACACACTTATCCAAGGAGCTCTACCAGAGATCTTGGCCAATACACCACAAAGCTTCTTTGAAAACTCTATGAAGGTCATTCAGGTTTGTGGAAATGAGATGAATATTAATTTAATAATAATCTTTAGCACTGCCCCACTACAAACATGATACATTGAAAAATTAGTCCATAGCCAGGATAATAAGCTTCAACTGAAAAGTTTTATTTTTTAGTTATTTATTTTCTTTGGGAGGAGGGTATCAGCGTTTAGGAAACAATCTGTTTAATTGAAGATGAAGACTTCTATTCGGCTATGTGAAGAGGAAAGGCATTTTTTAAGGGAGGAGTCGATAAATTATAGTTTCTCAAACTCGTTTAATAATTGATCATCAAGTTTAAATAAAGGAAATCATGTCTGTGATTACTAGGTAATTATTTTAGGTTTAAATAACTCATTTCTTAATATATTTGTATATAACTATTTTTAGGCATCTATTGTATATTACATACTTACATAGATCATATAATCCTATTTTTTTTATATACAATTTTGAGTTCACGTACAAGTTTTAACGAGCGCTTGCACTCCTAGGTGTCGCGTGGTTAAATAAAGTATTGATTGATTGATTGATTGATTGATTGATTGATTGATTGATTGATTGATTGATTGATTGATGTGCGGCCCCAAAGGGTATGGTTTCTTAGCCGTTTTGGGGAGAGAAATAGGGTATTGATTTTGCCTATTTTAATCTCTATAAGGTATGGGAGGGTCTGGATGGGTGGGGGAGAGTGTTAGTTGTCAGTTAAAATTTTGTCTATTAGTCATTTGTCAGTTAAATTTTTGGCCATTTTTCGGTTGTCAATTAAGTGGCTGATTGTGATTAGGCCGAAACTTCATCAAACCAAGTATGTCGTCGTTCGCCCTGACCTCCGGAACACATTATGTTAATAGTTTAAATGTTGTCATAGCGAAATCTGGAGAAAGAAAGAAGAATTTTGAGATACTTCAAAATCACATACCGTGGTTCCTTCAGCGGTTGAGTCTTTTAACTCGGCCCTGCGTAAATGTTTTGAGCGTTGGAAGTGAAATGGGTAAAAGAGACGTCGATATCTTGCAAAATACTAAGGAAGAATTACAAAAAGTGATCAAGGTCGTCACATGAACATTTTGAACCGAGCTATTGAGCCTAATGAATATTCGTGTAATCTTTACAAAGCTGCCATAGAAAGCCTTCCAAACACTCTGAACGATGATCTGACAGAGTTCGAAATTTGTCAGCAGACTTTTCAAGAGTACAAAGAAAGACAGCAGCGTAAGGAGGTCTCAGTGAAGTTTGACATGGTGCATTTCATTCATAGCATCTATTATGTTGATATCGAGCAGACCTTGATTTATTGTTTTGAGAAAGAACTCAGAGAGAAGGGAGTTTTTGTTTGCATTGTTGAGGAACTCGACTTCACGACTATGATTATGCAAATACAGTGGTATAGGAAAGACTCAGAGAGCAAGAAGAATGCAACAACTGAGAAGATGATCAAAATTGCTCAGGACAATGGCTGGAAGCATGAAATATACACCCAGAAATATCTCATAGATGTTACTGATGTGTTTGATGAGAAATCAACTGAAGGAAATCTGCTCCTTGACTTCTTCACACATACTGTGAATTTTCGTGAGACAGCGGACCAGCAAAAGGTGGAAGAAACACTGGCACTGATTAAAGACAACACTATTGTCAAGGACGGAAAGCTTGTTGGAGAGAAAGACGAGTCGCTTATTCTTATTTACAAGTAGAGTGCTCTGCTTTTTGTTAAATAATAATACTCCACATGCCCCGCTGCATTAGAACAAATACAAAGCCAAAGGTGGCTAAAACCCAATCAGTGGAAACCTCCCAACCCCCACCCCGCTCCCCCACTGACCTGGCACAGGGGTAAATATAGCAAGGGCATGGATGCACTTTTTAACAGAAAAAATGTCCCAGGAGTTGGGAAATGGACCTGTTTGACAATGTCATGCTTTTCTGATTTTTTCATTCAAACAAAACATAAGCTTCACTGCCTGATTAGTCATGCTACAGTCAGTAAATATTTGAAGCTTGGTAAGAATCCAATGCAAACTCATGAAAATATTACCCCGAATTTGCCAGTTTTTACATGGAAATGTATGCCAGGGGTGCAATTTGTTTGTAAACATTGACAAGTTTTGGATCCTATAGTTTCAGGAGTTTGCAACAGATTCTTATGAAATTTCACATATTTACTAAATTCAGCATGATAAATTGATCTATGAAGGTTGCTATTTGTTTGTATGAAAAATACGAAAAATTGTTGACGTTGTGTGATATTGTCAAAATGGTCCATTGGACTCACCTGGGGATAGGTCAGTGATTTGACTGTCATCACTGACATGGTTTGTTCAAACTACTTGCAGTGTTACTTGTTGTTACTTGAATGCAGAAATGTGTCATTTGACTATGTGATGGTCAAATCTGAGTTCGGGTAGGATGTTAAATGCTCCAAGTGAAAGGTGGTTTTGCCAAGAATGCATTGAATCCTATTCATACGGCTTTAGGAATAAGTATCTCTGAAAGTCACTGAGATGTTTGTTTAAGACTGTTTTGTTCTGGGATTAAAAACAATTCAATGCTTGTGATTAACTTTGGGGTCTAGAGTCACTGGAGCAGCAGGCTGAAAACTTATGGATCAAAGTCACCGATCAGGCCTTATTTGTTCAAAAGGTGGATAACACTATCCACTGGATAAATCGTTATCCACCTGATAGCAATTTATCCAGTGGACAGCGTTATCCACCCTTTCAAACAACCTGGACCAGTATTTCATAGTACCTGATAGTCCAAAGAGACAGAGGCATCAAGTAAACACAACTTAGTAGTAATTTCATTTAGCTGTGTTTGTATTTTAAGCTGAATACGTAGATGTATTGTAATGTTAGTTGTGTAAGTATTAGTAGCGTAAGTTATGTAACTGGCTGTATTGTATGCAAATAAAAGTTTATTAAAAAAAAAAGTAGTAATTTCATTTACTAGAACAAACCTGCACACCGCACTACTGATATCAACATACAAAGAAAGATCTGTCTAATAGCCCAGAGATACTAGTTGGATTTTGCAGTCATGATGAATCATGGATTCTGT